AGTAAGGAAGGATCCAGGGAGCAATTTGTAGGTAGCAATATGATATTTGTACTTTTGAAAATCTTCCAGCTGCTGGGTGGAGCATGGACAGGAGGGGTAAGGGTGCATGCAGAAGGATTCAGGTAGTGTTTATAACCTGGTTACTTTCGACAGTGTGAAACTGTCCACAAGTCACAGGAAATTTGCCTCTCTGCCCCTGTACAACATGCAGGCAGCAACCCCCATTCTTCAGGATGGTTACACATCCCCCCAGTTTCAAACATTTTCCTGAGAGGAGGGAAAATTGTACCACTGTTTGAGAACCAATGACACTGGCTACTGTAGTAACGTACACTTTGGTTTTCAGAGTGAGGTGCTGCGCATCCCAGGAGGCTAGGAGGCATCCATGGGGAAGCAGGAAGGAAAAATTACAGCTTTAATCCCTGCTCATCATACATGATCACAGTGGGAACAGAATTAAGCTTTGTTATCACTGAGCAGAGGGCTTGGTTCCCAGGTAGTCTCATGTGATGCACATACCCAGGTGTGACCTGAGGTGAGAGCAGCAATCCCACAGTGACGCAGGTTGTCTCTCCTCTGTTTCTACGCATTGTTAGCTTTGTGATTTATGTGCCCATGAAGTAGGAATGTGGATTCTGCTATCTGTTTTAAAATAGAGTACAGAAGAGTCCTACATAGAAACCACAGGTTGAAAATGATATTAATGATATAAGCACAAAGTAACAGAAAGAAACAGCAGAGTTAAAATTACTAGTTAGCAGTAAATTTAGATTAAAAAAATGACACCATCATATCTGAAAAAAAGTAAACCAAAAATTGAAATTATCCAGAAGAGACACTTATTTGTCTACACTTTTGTTAAAGATGACTTTGAGTCTAAATATACTGTATCATATCTTAGATATTACCTAATGAAAGTATGAAGTCATAATTATTAGCATAAAACTTTGCTTCATCTTTTTCACATGCTTTTAAAAGTTTGTCTTTAATAGTGTAACTCGCATTTATACTATCAGTACACTCAGTATATTTTACTGACAGGTACAGATGAGTGGGGCCTGTGGAACTGTTTCCTTTGGCTGGAGAAGCACTGGTCTAGGCAGGTGATGGTTTGTGCTCAGGCTGCGGCAGAGAGATGGAGACAATTACATAACTTCTAGAAACGTGCATGCGGGAGAAGTGGCGGTGACTCAGTGAGGTAGGAACCAGGGAGACGTAGGATCGAGGCTGAGTCAGATCGCCAGAAGATGTCAGACAGGTGGCACCTTTTTTTTTTTTAAGAAAATTAGATTTGGGAGACAGTCTTTTTATTTTTTTTAATTAAAGTACAGTTGATAAGTTACAGGTGTACAGTATAGTGGCTCACAATTTCAAAGGTTGTATTTCTTTTACAGTTATTGTGAAATATTCGCTATACTTCTGTGTTGTGTGTCTTGTAGCTTATCATATCCCTGGTAGTCTGTGCCTGTTCACCCCCTGCCCCTGGACTGCCCCAGTCGCCGCCTCGCTCTGGTAACCACGAGTTTGTCCTCTCTCTGTGAGTCTGCTGCTTCATGTTACAGTCACTAGCTTGCTGTGCTTTTTAGATTCCAGGGCTGTTTAAGACTTGCTAAGTTTGAAATATCTTATTCAACAAGCATTTAAATCCTCCACTGTACAGATCAGGAGAGTAGACCAAATCAGAGAGAGATTTTGGCAAGTGAGCTCCATATAAAGTCAGAAAAAGCAAGACGATGCCCAGGGGAGAAAACAGCTAGTGAATGGAGACGTGGGCTAAGAAACAGACATTGTGATGAGGGGGACACGGCCAGAAAAAATAGAAGAGACTAGGAGAAACTAAATGCAAGGCAGAAGGAGAGGGCCAGGTATGTCATACGATGCTGAAACTTCAGGCTAAATGAGGTTTCTGGAGTCCAGCTGCCATGTGGAGGTTGTTGGTGATGCATCAAAGTAGCTTACAGTTAAAAAGTACTTACTAAGGCAGAATTCTGGTGGGAGTGCGCTTGAGGCATGGATGGAACATGACGTGGATCCTTCAACCAAGTGTACTTTTTTCATTCCAAAGTATAGTATTTGCTTTCTAATTATAAAAGTTTCCTTTTCTGTTTCAGAAAAATTAGGAAATATGGAAGGGAATAAAGATAGAAATAAAATGATCAAATATCTCAACTGATACCAACTAATATTAATGTCAGTCTCTTGATATTTTTCCTCATACTTATTTATACAGGTATATATCATTATGATCTTTATTTCAGTATTGTAAATTAAATTGTACATTACTATTATTCTGTTTTCTTGCCTTCCTTTGCCTTTTAGTATTTTTTGAAGTATGATTTTTTTTAACTAGCTGAGAAGTATTTCTTCATCTGGTTATATAAAAAATGAATATACTCTTAAACTTTGGGCAAGTAAGTCATTTGTAATATTCCACTTCTGTAAATAATTCCGTGATGAACATCTATTTGTACATCTTGAACTAAGAGCTCTGCGTACAGGTGGCACTCCTGGTTCTTTTAAGGCTTGTGAAAATACTAATAACCTCTCTATGCAAGACGCTTTGGGGTAAGGGCTTCTCAGTACCATTACCCTCCCGTCAGCATCATTTTCTGTAATTGTGCGTATTCTGTTCCCTGTTTTAGAATCATGTTTGGGCATATGTGTGTGTGTTAGTTAATAAGTGCATTTCTTGAAAATCGCATGAGTTTGCATTTTCCTTTTTACCCTAATTTCAGTCTTAAAGGGTTGACTCAGTATTTTATATCACTTATCATAACTTGTGTATTATATCATCTGTCCTTGTATTTCATGCCCTTTCATATTCTTGAGTTTTTCCTTTTTATCCCCTGATTTTTACTACATGAAACTTCCCAGCTTAGTTTCTCAGAGACTATTTAAAGGTATGTGCTCTGTTTTGAATTATGGCTGTAAAACTTATTTCACAAGAAGGGTCCTTTCCTAAGCTTGATTGGAAGCATTGTGTTTGTTCTGGAAAGTTATTCTATTTGCCTTAAAATCATTTGTATGTTACAGGGAGCTGCTACTCTTGATAGTAGCTGTGCTCTCTCTCAGATTCCACACCTGGTGACTGGTGTGGTTTCCTCTTTCCAACCTGCTGATGATTCTTTTGACAGAGAAGATGAAAGAGAAGAAAACAGGCACTAACGTTGTCTGCAATATAGCATCTATTTGCATAGGTTACCTCATTTAATCTTAATTCTGGGAGGTAATGTTCATTGTGATCATTCTGTAGGTGACAGAATTGAAGTTAAAAGGCATGATTTGTTCATTGAAACTTCCTTAGTAAGTGATAGAATCAGATTGAAACTCAGTGAGTTAATTCAACAAATACTTAGTGCTTAGTCTGTAGGCACTGTCTACCCCTTAGGATATATGAGTGAACAGAACATACGAAGATTCTCTGCCTTCCCGTGAAGGTCTGAAGTCAGGGTGCTGGGGTAGTTGCGGTTTTAGTGAGGGGCCTCCTTCCTGATTGTGTCCTCACATGGCCTTCCTTGGCGTGTGCAGGCAGAGACAGAGAGAGAAGAGAATCTGTATCTCTTCCTGGTTTTGTGAGGGTGTGACTCCCATCACAGGACTCCATCCTCGTGAGCTCATCTACACCTAAGGATCGCCCAGTTCCTGCACCTCCATAATCATCACACTGAGGATTAGGGCTTTAACTTAGGAATTTTGAGGAGACACAAGCATTCAACCCATAGCAGACTCTAAAACTTACTTCCTTTAGACCATATTAGGCTGCTACTTCTGTATAATGCAAAATACATTATTGGATTACTCTCTCTCCTTACCACATTGGGGGCTTGCCCTTTTGAATTTCTTGTTGCTATCAACATAAAATCCCCCTTCTCCCACAAAGAGAGAGGTGAATATTTTTATTTGCTTTTATATTTTCACAAGCTTCACCTCATTCAGATTTTCAGCTTCCATTCCAGTATTTTACGGGCCTTTACCTCTCCCATTGTATTCATTGTGTTTTTCATGGAATTTTCACATTATTTAAGTGTGGCTTATTTTACAGTGCATGTGCTTTTGAAGAATTCAAGTAAGTGGAATTTTTGTGAATAACACCAAACTTTTAGTGAAAATTTGGTACTATAAAAGATTTCCATTTCATTTTTACTTTTGTATGATTATGCTCACATCTTCTGGGATAATTTAATATTTTCAGTTATTCAGCTGTTTAATGTCTGTTGAGCTAGGTGGCAATGTGGCAGCCACATCTTTCTTTACATGAAGACAACATGTTAAATGAAGTACTTTTTTTGGAATACTGAGTGTGTTAGGATGCTTAAAGCAGTGTTAATCTTTTACTTCACAAATGGGTCCCAATTACTCACTAGTGAGACACATCTTGTGCTACTTATGCCAAGTACTAGATAGGTGCCATCTAGACCACAAGACATTTCGTTTAATAACAGGTTTAATATGAAATCATTAATACACTCCATTATGAAAAGAAAAATACTGTTTCCAGGGATAGAGATGTTTAAACATAGTAGGTGGGGGAAGGGAGGCATGTTGGTACACAGAAGACACGTACTCAATGCAGACACCTCTTGGAGCTGTACTTGTCTTTACTTCTTACCTTGCATGTTAAATCCCATTTATTTCAAGAGCACTTTTTTGTTTTTATGCCTGTCAGCACATATTGATAATAAGAATTTGCATAATGTATATTGTGTAAGTGATTATTTTTCTTTAGTCGCTAAGTCATGTCCGACTAAGCCTAACTCGCCAGGCTCTGTCTGTGAGATTCTGCAGGCAAGAATACTGGAGTGGGTTGCTATTTCCTTCTCTAGGGGATCTTCTCAACTCAGGGATCAAACCCATGTCTCTTGCTTGGCAGGCAGATTCTTTACCTGGTAAAGACATTCTTTACCAGGCAGATTCTTACACCGCTACCTGTGTAAGTGATAAATTTGTGTATTTTCAGATTTTTTAATATAATATGACTGGTATCTTTGGGTCTTTTCTAGGTTTGTGACTTGGCTTTTAGCCTGAAGAAAATGCTGATCCGACACAAGATGACTCATAATCCCAATCGTCCACTGGCAGAATGCCAGTTTTGCCATAAAAAGTTTACAAGGAATGACTACCTCAAAGTGCACATGGACAATATCCATGGGGAGGCTGACAGCTAAGGGTAGCTGCAAAGGAATTAAGCCATTCAGAAGGGCTCCTAATAGGAAACCCAGGTCTCTCACCTGATTAGTGTAGCAGTTCACTCACTGGTCTCGCAGTTCTTATTTGCCTACCTTTAGAGTCTGTACATACATATGCAAAAAAAGACAAAAAACACTACTTTTATTAAGAAATAGTAAAAATGGAAAACAATAACTTTGTAACCTTCCAAAATACTACTTTCGTTATGCCTTATAAAAATGGAAAAGGAGCTGTGCCATCTTCTTCTTGGCCATCTCTCTAGTGAAGTTTATTAACATACTGTCTGTCAGGCTTTTTTTATTTTATTTTTATCCTTATGTGTGTGCGTTTGTATGTGCTGGTTATCACAATTGGTTATTACTAATTTAATCAGAAAGGAGTTAAGATTTCCAAGATAATTTCATTACAGATAAGGATAAGAGGTAAGAGTTTTCCAAGTCTCAAGCGTAGTAACAGTATAAAACTTGCTATTTGTGAAGCAGGCCAAAAGTTGATGGTCCTACATAGCTCCTTACAACAGATGAGTTTAAAATAAATAGGTATTTAAGAACTAAAACATCTACTGAAATTTTGCTCATTTTAGACAATCCTCAGGAAACATTTCCTCATCATTCAGTTGCCAGCATTCATGGTCTAGAATACTTATATCAACACAGAAGTGGCCATAACACTCAAATTTGCCCACCTGATTCTCCTGAGTTTTATACTCGCTAGCTTTAGAAATTAACACAGATGGCTAACCGTGGAAACAACATGGGCTCTCAGTGTCTGCTGGCTGACAGAGCAGCAGGTCAGTAGGTGCATTAGGATGCTGACCTGGCCCTTTACCTGCTCATCGCATTGGAGAGCACAGAGCCTGTCCATGCAGATGCAACAGTCCTCAGAGCATTTACATTCTGTTTCTCAAGAGACATTCTCCAGAATCTTGGCAGTAGGTGATTCTGAAACACTTTTGAATTACTCTCAATCCTTTATAATTAGGAATCCAGAATAAAAAACACAACCCTGGCAGTTGTGATGACTGAAATGATCACCGATGTTTAAGGAAAATTGAAGCAAGAAGCATAATTTCTTCCTTTAGGTTTTGTTTCAGCTCAATACTTGAGAACAACATACAATGAACAGCTTGTCTTGGGAGAAGATATGATAAAATATAATAATGTTGTTAAAGTAATATAGAAGAATCCCAACCAGCAAAAACTTAAAATGAATCCCAATTCAAGAACTTTTCTATTTGGAGCCCATTCAAAAGAGAGAAAGTATAATTTTCAGGAAGTTATTTAATTCTAATCATTTGTGGAGAAAGGTTATCTGAAGACACAGTTCTCTGAAATCAGGAATCTTGTTTTAGAATTATATTTATGCTCAGTTCCAGTTCTGAAAAGAAACAATGATTCATTATAGATATTTAAACTCTGTGAAAATACTAAATTTGAAATTCACCAGAGGTAATTTTTAAAAATATAAATGCCTGGATTATAATTTAGAAGATGTCTGAGTATGGCTATATGAAGCATTTGTTCTGAAATTATAGACTGTATTTTATACAAATAGATTTTGGTCTCGTTTCTTGCTATGTCATTTGTTTCAGTAGTATATTTTTAGATATAAAGTATTTTCAGTTTAACATAACAGTGTGCTTAATCTCCTTTGAATATAAAAGGACAGCTGTAAAATTTAGTAGTGGGTATTGTTTAAGCGTGTTCTGCTCATTCCTTTGGGTGCTGCCTTCTCTGTACGGGACGCTTCATAGCCCAATTGTGTGAAACTTGAAGCCAGACCAACTGTGTATCATCTCAGTGACTCACAGTTTACAGGGCTGCTGAGGAAGTTACCCTGGAAACCGTGTTATCACAATGCTGTGGAGAGGACTGATGAGGACTGAAGTGCTGAATGTGATCTGGCCCAAGGTCTGCAGTCAAACAAAACTTCAGAAAATGGCGTGCAGAGACCTACTGGTACACCATCCTTTCTTTTCAAAGCACTGAAACCAAAACAGACCCTTAAAAAGATTATTTCCGTGCCATACCTTTTATCCAAAAGATGATTATTTATAAAACACCTCAGATATGTTAGTGTTTGTGTCCTAGAACTTTAAAACCACTTAGTGATAACAAAGAGATAAGAATTCATTTAGTTTGAGAAGTTAAGAACAGAAATAAGACAGTCATGGGGGAAAAATCAGGCATGCTGGAGTGCAGGTACTCACTCTAAAGAATCTTCCTCTTAGGCTACAGAAAGTTACGACTCCTGTATGCTTGTGGGAAGAGGCCAAACTCTTACCCTGAGGTCAAGACTGATGGTCAAAAGCTTTTAGTAATATGGGTAGGCTCAGATAAACTTTATAGTTACTATCTTTGTATAGTAACATTTAACATATTTGTATATCTAGAATTTTTTTTCTTCTTTTACAATCACTGGCTTCTGTTTTCTCTTTTTTCCTTGCCTTTTTTATTGGGGTTGTCGTTGGCGATACAAAACAGTTTGTTAATTAATCATAATATTTGCAGCATAAAAGTATTCATTGCCGATTCATTTGGGGGTTACACAGAATAGTTAAAATACTACTTTTAAGAAACATTTTTATATGTTTTGTGTGTGTGTGTATGCAGAGAATCACTCTTATGAGAGGCTTATATTGTACATGCAAATACATTACTTTGTTCAAAACTCTTCAGACCTGTTGCAGCCAACAGGTGTGGATGTGAATCACAGAAAGTCTTATAACGGTAGTTTGTGCATTCAGTTTTATGGGCTGCTACTCTCCCAAAGCTGGAAGGGAGGGGGAGAGGCTAGGTACTGGAAATACTAACTTTTTCCTTCACAAACTTAAATGTTACTTGTGAAAACTTATCTTGGGGTTGTAAATATATGGAGATGGACAGGTAGGAGGAAATGTGCCTATTTAAAACCCTAAAATTTTATCATTAATGATGTTTAATTGCATGTACATATATAAATGCAGTATTTGTGAATATAGTAGAACTTTAGTAGCATTTTTATTTTATTATAAATCTATAATCTATATAATCACTACCACAGCTGGTAGCAGCATTGTATTTTACAATAGGACAGTTCTATAGTAAAATCGAAATTAACATTTAAAGTTGTTTTTGATGAAAGAAGAAAATATAATTGTCATTACTCCCAGACCTCCTGTTTTGCAGTTTTATTTCTAAGCATTTCTAGATCTGGAAAATCTCTCTATAGTTAAGCCAACTTGGTTTTAGGGTCACAGAGAGAACACCATCTTAACTCTCATCTCACTTTTGGCCAAACGTAAACACCATGTGAAAAGAAACATTACTAATGATGAAAAACACTTGATTTATAATATTATCTCTGAGCACAAATATCCTGATAATCACAAATATAATTTAAGAATGATTAAAGTTACAGCTGATATTTTGTGTGTTCCTTCTTTTAAAAGTTTTATTATTCTGGTGGTGTTTCAATCTTGTGAGCTTTCCCTGGTACAAAAAAATTATCATCATCATACTTATCATGATTCTCCAAGTAGTTGATTCAGAAATGATACATTCATTTACCTTTGATGTGTCAGAAGTCATTTAATTAGTTGAGACACTAGTTCTTTGGAACTTCCATAGTGTTAACTACTTTGGGCTCAATACTGCTATCACTGCTGTTTATTAATTTGTTATATGACAGGAGAAAAATTAACACCAGAGCCTTCAGTCTGGGCCATGTTAGAATATTCTAGATTTCCTAGGCCCACAGACTAGCAGAGAATGCAAAGGGGATCTTATACCAGAATGGTGCTGTTAATCCTGTGTCCAAGTTCACATTCTCTCTTTAAAAAATGCTTAACACAGTACTGGAAAACAGCATATATAAAAACGTTTATATTTATTTCAAAGCAGGCTTCCTAAACATTTGATATATTTTTCTAACCCTGCAAGCATTTAAGCAATTAGGGTAAGTTTTATGCCACCGTGGCATGTGACTGAGCAGAAGGAAACTCAGATTTTGGGTACTATTCATATGCTGAAAATTGAGAAAGGAGATGAGACCACTGAAACTCGATGATCTAAATTAGTGTGAAGGAATTAATATTAGAATATCACAGTTCCTAGTAAGTCACTATAGACTTACTAGGAATTAATTACTTAATAATGCATTTGCCTTTGTAAAATAATATAAAAATGAAAAGAATTCCAGCTTGTAGTGGATAACTTATTTTAAAATTTTGTCTTGGAGAAAAATAATGGTCTTTTCCTTAAAGTAAATTTCACCTGACATCTTTTATATGATGTTTGACTGACATACCTTTTCCTCCTATTCTACTACTATAGACTATTCCTTAAGAATATGTACATTTTGGATGTGTTTCTAATAAAGGACCTGTGGTAAGATTTCACATATTTTATCCTGTCTGAAAATACTGTGTGTCTGTGATCATGAATCCGTCCTACCTTTCCCAGTCTTACCTAGCCTTCATATGACACAGAGGGCTTGTATTAGAGTCTGTACTTAAGAAATTTGTTCTTTACACCTAACATATGAAATTCATCATCACCGATATGTAAATCTGATTAAAGCCTGACATTGTAGACATAATTCAAGACCCTCCTTTGTCGGTTCTCGCTGACCCATGGTAGCTGGTGATGCACAACTGGAAACAAAAGAGATTCCTTAAAAATATTCCTAGGACTCTGATACCGTGGACACAAGTATAACTGCTGAAATCTGAAAGGATACACCACCATTATTGGGATTTAGTTGTTGAAACAGTATGGCCTTTGTTCATTCTTTAATATTTGATAATGCAACTCATAAAAAGGGAAGTGCATTGACTTCCGACTTGATATTTGTGTTGCCTTGCTAAAGTATTAGCATCTGGAGAGCTGAAACTGTATTTGATGAACAAAAGAAGGTCTGAAATTAACTTTTATGAAATCAAACTGTATAGTTCCTATGCTAAGTAGGAACATAAAAGTATGGAAAACAAAATCACATTTAATTGATTCTAAAACCTATTTAAATTGGAAAAGTGAGTCTTTTATGGAATATTGCATTTAGTCATTAGAAATTCTGAAAAATTAAATTTTGTGGAAATTAACCGATCACTGACTTTTGACTGCCTTAAGTCTAGTTTTACTATTCAAACATAGGAAATCTTCTGATGTTACTTTCTGGTAGCCTGATTTATATAATAACTGCTTACTGCTCACCTTCTACCTAGCAAATACACCCTTCCCCAGAATGTAGCATAGAGTAAGGCAGTGTCGAGTCCACGCCGTTCAGCGTCGCTTCAGCCTCTCCGGCTCCTCGCGTGTGGGATCCATTCCTCGTGCTCTTGCAGCGGCTGCGTGGCTTCGCGTCCTCTCCAGTTTCGCCTTCCGCTGGGTTCCGAGAGTGACAAGTTGGTGTTGTTCCCAGACTCAAATTATGATACTTAGGATATTAAGTTGTATCCTTTCTGCTCTGGCTATAAAATGTGAAATTGGGGCAGACGAATTTAGTTGATTAGGGTATTATTAGACTAAGTATTTGAGTTGGGCCAACTGGCTTTGTACTGAGCAAAGCTATTGCTCAGTGTCCTGAGTTACAGATCTCACCCCTAACCATGCCGACTCTGCCAAGGGCATGTGGCTTGTTTTGACTGAGGATCCTGAGAGAGAGAGAGAGTCATGAGGAATAAAAGAGGAATTCTGCAGGTGTGTCCTGCAGACAGGAGTGTAACAACACCCTTCTAAAGATGGGTAGGTTGGAATTAAAATCTCAGGTAAGGGTATTACAACTGAAGAACTAAGATGGCTTTCATAAGGCTTATGCGTGATAAAGCTGAGATTAAACCTCCATCTCCCGACTTTTCTTTCTCTCTCCGCTTCCTGGACGTCACTCACATCACGCTTGGGCAGTACCATTCTGAGTGTGAGTCTTATCCGTATCTAGAGAAGAATGCCATCTCCTAAGTGTCTGACACAGTAAGTACTCTGTTAAAGGAATGGCTTATAATGTATGCACATGCATATGATGGTGCATATTGATAGTGAGCAAATCAATTAATCAGAAAAATAAGGAAATTATACTTTGGGAAGGGGGACCAAAGTCACTGAATTTGAGATAAGCATTATGTATAGTTAATAATCAGAAACAAATCTATAAAAGTTTAATTAAATATTAATAGCATATTTCTACCTTTCTTGTGTATATCACCTTCTTTATAAATAATGTTTTTGACTAGTTTCCTTTATGGCCTGTTGCAAATGCATACATATCTTATGGGAATTTAAATACACATACAAGATTGAGCAGTACATAACCAAATTTCATGTTTTAATCAGACAATAAAATAATTATAGTCACAAAATATCCTGTACAGTCTGTTTTGAGTGAGAAAGGACTTGAACAAAGGCTTTGTGTAAGAAATCACTGAGAGTTTAGTTACAAGATATATTTTACCTGAAATTCAAATCTGTATAAATCCACAATTTTCTCATACTTAAAAGTAAAGAGGAAAGGAAAAGTGGATAAAGACAGAAAAGAAAGTATTAAACCTATTTTAGACATGGAAAAAATATCAAGAGGTGAAAACAGCTATTTTCCCATTTGAAAGGGAAGGATGGGCATAAGAAAAAGGGTAGAAGGATCATAAGTTTAGCAAGATGATAAACTGTAACATCATTTATCATCTGAATTATGTCCATTTCCTTAGCAGTAAAATGAATTTAATAGTATCTACTGGTTGGTTCTATTATGAGAAATAAGTCAGAAAAAATTCATTTATTCATGCAAAGGATGCCTGGGACATTAACTAGAGTTCAAATTAATCCTGCCCCAGTATTCTTCCAAGTTAATGCCTTGTCATTCTATATATGCCTTCAGAAAATTCTAAAATCCCCAATATTCTATCTCCTACTTTGAAGCAAACTTGTCACAAGGCAAGTCAGACAAGTTTTAAATTGTGTATCGCTAATCTTCAATTCATGTTCAGTTCTCCTTATTATATGGTATTTCCATAATATCTCCAGATACTTCAACCTTACCCTTTCCAGCAAAGATTAAGCCATTAGTTTAAAAATACTATTAAATTTCCAAACTAAATAACACTTGGCCCACTTAGAGTGATGCTGTCGTGAGAGGTCCTTGCATGCTATATTGCTTCGATCTCAACACGGCCTCCTTTGGGCAAAGCAGCAACCTGGTAAGCAGCTCGTGCAGGAAAACTCTTCTGGAAATATTGTTTGTAGACATCATTGACAGTACTGAAGTCATTTATGTCAGCCAGCAAAACAGTTGCTTTTACCACATTTGTGAAGTCACAGCCTGCTGCTTTCAGAATCTCACCTATGTTTGTAAGAGCTTGTTTAGCCTCTTCTGCCACCCCTCCTGGCACAAGCTGTCCACTTGCAGGGTCCACGCCTAGCTGTCCTGAAATGTCAATGGTCCTGTCGACTAACACAGCCTGGCTGTAGGGACCAGTGGCCGCGGGGTCTTTCGCAGTGCTGATCACCCTTCTGACCAAAGACGACACGGCTAACCCTTTTCCCTTGCTCCCCTCGGAAACAGCTACGCAGAATACAACTCTCACTCGCGCCTCACCTGACTGAATTGAAGATTAATGATGAATCTAGTTACTAATGTTATAAATTTCACTTCTGTAACACTTGTATTGATGGATGTGGGAAAACAGACATGCCTTACTTAGTTAACTCAGAAGAATAAAAGAAGAAGGAAATAACATGTAGGAAAGATGAGCTACTATTCCTGAGAAATAAGAAAGAGCACACCTAATTCAACTAAACCCTATTAATTCAATGATGTGAAGTATTTTATTATGTCAGATATGTGATTTTTACTGGAATAAAATTAAAGCATTTAAATTTGAATGGCAGAGATAAAGGAGAAGAAACTGGACCAAATTTTATATAGATAATATTTTTCTAGTGGAAATAAAATAGCATGCAGATTTTCCTTGGTGTTATTCCATTCACTGATTTTTTTTAACAGTTTAATTTAGATATTAAATTACATTACCTAAATAAAGGTGAAGAAACTAAAAAAAAAAAATTGTGTATCACTGATGTAATTATGGTGAAGCATTTTATTTAGGAATGTTTTGAAAATTCTTAAGTACTATGTCAATTTAGCATACATACTTATAGAAATGACCTGTTCTTTTAACCCAAGCATAAAAATAAGATTTTTAATTCCTAGATTATTAGATGTTTTTTGTTTTGCTTAAACTACATTTAATCTTCTTTTAAAGCATAATCAATAATTTTGGGTTTGTAATTGAACTACCTACCTCTCCACTAATTAAATAATAGCACCAAAGTGTTCAAAAGGGAACAACTCTGTTATATTGTTACATATTTTAAATGCCATGAGTGACATCAAAATGAAACTCTGCTATAATATCAAGTAACAAAAACTGGGTGATTCCATATGAATTTTAGGATTATTTGTTCTGTGAAAAATATCATGGGTAACTTGATAAGGATAACATTAAGTCTGTAATTGCTTTGGGAAGTATGGCCATATTAACAATATTCTACCAATTCCAAGAGCATGGGATATCTTACCATTTTGTTGAATCATCTTCAGTTTCCTTTACTAATGTTTTATACCTCTCAGCATGTAAGTCTTTCACATCCTTAGTCAGGTTTATTTCTGACTCTTGTGCATTCTGGGGTTTTCCTGGATGTAATGTCCTGAAAATATCAATTATGTTTAATTGTTCTATTGTATCATTTAGGGTCTCTGATGCCTTGTTGCTTTGCTGTCTAGAAGATCTGTCCATTGATGTGAGTGTGGTGTCAAAGTCTCTACTACTATTGTATTCTTGTAAATTTCTCCCTTTATGTATTTGGGTGTTCCAATATTAGATGCATCTATGTTGATGAGTGTAAACTCCTCTTCTTGCATTGATCCTTTCATCATTGTATAGTCTCCTCTAAATTTCTCTGTGTCCTTTGTTTTGAAGCCTGCTTATCTGGTTCCAAGTATTAGAGTCCCTGCTGTCTTGTCCTTGTTGTTTGCAGGAAATGTCTTTTTCTGTCCCTCCTCTCACTTCCAATCTGTGTGTCTCCCTTGTACTGAGGTGGGTCTCTTGTAGACTCTTTGTCTTTTAATCCAATTTTCTGCTTTTATTTTAGTTGGGGTACAGCTAATTAACAGTGCTGTGTTTCAGGTATACAGCAGAGTAATTCAGTTATACGTGTGTCTATTTCAAATTATTTTCCTAGTTAGCTTATTAAAGAGTCCTGAGCGGAGTTCCATGTGCTGTACAGTAGGTCCTTGTTGGTTATCTGTTTTAAATACAGCAGTGTGTACATGTTAGTCCAAACCCGCTATCTATCTCTCCCTCCCACCCCTCCTCCCAGGTTAAGATAAGTTCATCCTCTTTGTGAATCTGTTTCTGTTTTGTAAATAAGTTCCATTTGTATCATGTTTTAAGATCTGCATGTAAACAATATCATATGATATTTGTCTTTCTCTCTGACTTACTTCACTTGGTAGAATGTCCAGGTCCATCCATGTTGCTGCAGATGGAGTTATTTCATTCAGTTTTACAACTGTAGACTTTGGCCATCTGACTGGTGTGTAGTTTTGATATGCATTTCTCTAATTATTCTTAGTGATGTTGAGCATCTCCTCGTATGGCACATCTCTCTCATTGAGGCACAATCTACTTGGAGAGGGTGTGGAGAAAAGGGAACCCTCCTACACTGTTGGTGGGAATGTAAATTGGTACAGCCACTGTGGAGAACAGTATGGAGGCTCCTTAGAAAACTAAAGATAGAGCTGCCATAAACCCAGAAGTCCCACTACTGGGCAAATACCCTGAGAAAACCATAATTCAAGGACACATGCACCTCCAGTGTTCACTGCAGCACTATTTTCAATAACTGGGACATGGAAACAACCGAAATGCCCATCAACAGATGAATGCATAAAGAAAATGCAGTGCATTTATACAGTGAAATGTCACTCAGCCTTAAAAAAGAATAGAAATGAAAGTATATTTTAAAACAACTTATGAGACCCAGCCTAAAGTGGTTGGCTCAGAATTTTAATGTCTTTTGTATGTGCTCTAAGACTGTAGATTTTGCAGCTTGTGAGAATTTTTGTAAGGAGAATTTACCTTGCAGGGTTTAGAATAGAAAGCCCTTAACTGTTCTCACTGAGAGAATTTCAAACGCTAAAGTCAAAATTTTTACTTAATTTAGCAATTAGTAAAGAGGAAGGTCTCCAGGGAGGCGCTGACTACTAACATTTAGGTTCCATAGAAAGCATAACACACTGAGTTCTAGAGCACCTAGCAGCATGGAGTGCACCTTACCCTGAGCTGAGCTGTCGCAGGCGCCTCCAGCCCGTGCACGGAGGACAGCCTCCAGCACAGACCTGTCCCAGACTCCTGCTGACCTGTCATCTTGAATACACACAAATTACAGACTTCTGGGGTGCTCCACTTGGTAGGTGTTTATAGTTTCTAAGCAATAACTTAATTAGTCTAAACAATAACTAGTGACTGATCTAAAAGATACTAGCAATACTGATTGCAGTTTGGGGGTAACCTGCATTTGGATGAAGTCAGGCAACCCCAAGTGATCTGTTAGCTCTGGCGGTTTGGCCTGTTGGAGAGCTGTAGTGCTTTTGCTCCAGCTGTGTCCCATCTGAACATGGCATTTAATTCTGAAATGGATCAGACTCGGTGCTTATTCTTCTCTTTGTCTGCTTTCCTTTATATGCAAAAGACCTGACTGTGACCAAACTGGAAGTTAAGCTAGTTCTGTTTTACTCGGGTCTAACATAGTAATTCCTCGGGTGTAACTTAAATGATATATTTAGATATAAGTGCAAATAAGTATATTATTGACCATATAGCTATGCAGTGTTAACAATGGAAGAGAAACATGGCAGAGAATTCCAAAATATAATGATTCAAAAGATCTTTATATTTTGCAATGTAAATTTCTATCTTCAGATTCAATTGGATGCAGCAAAATTAACTTCAGTAGCAATGAAAGAGCAGATCCCCAGATGTTAAGGTTCAGGGATGGACAGCAGAGCTAAGGGAGCAAGGCTTGTTCGGAGGTTGACAGTGACCTTCCTCAAGGAAGGAAAATAAACTGGTATGAGGAAATGAGTTAGGGAACGGGGAAGTACAGTGAATTACTCCCTGTGTCCCTCAGAAAGTCTGTCCTGTTAACTCAGTGGTGGCGGTCTTGAATTCTGAGGTTATGGTTTATTTTCCAGGAGGTGATAAAGTAAGAGAACTCCTTGCTTTGCATGGTATGTAATTTGGACTCTGTTATGTTATTTTGGGGTGCCCTTGTAACAACTCCCAATACTTAGCAAACTTTTTAAAATATATTTTTGCTTCCTTATACATTCTTACTATATATATTTTTTTTTACTTCAGTAGAATGACTTCTTTAGAACTGTTTCAGAGGCAGTGATATGTGCTTTAAAGTCCTGTGCTTTAAAGTTCATTGGAAGGACTGATGTTGAAGCTGACTCCGGTACTTTGGCCACCTCATGCGAAGAGCTGACTCATTGGAAAAGACCCTGATGCTGGGAGGGATTGGGGGCAGGAGGAGAAGGGGACGACAGAGGATGAGATGGCTGGATGGCATCTCGATGGACATGGGTTTGGGTAAACTCTGGGAGTTGGTGATGGACAGGGAGGCGTGCGTGCTGCAATTCATGGGGTCGCAAAGAGTCAGACACGACTGAGCAACTGAACTGAAATATAATCATATTTTGAATTCAAATAAATTTCTATGCTGATAAAAAAATTTTTTTGGTCTTACTGAAATGACACAGGAACAGGAGTTCAGATTCAGTAGCTATCATATCAGGCTTCGCTTGTGGCCCTTTGTATGTGGCCTTCTCTAGCCTGGGTCCTGTTGGAAACCACAGTCTCTGGGCCTGCCCCGTCCTCTGAGCCCGCACACAGACTCGTGTCTGGACCGCTGCTCAGAACACCCGCTGTCACGCGTTGTAGGTGCTGCAGTGGCTGCAGCTGACAGCTGACAGAGGACGGGCTTGGTCCTGGACCCTCAGAGCACTGTGTCATGCATTTTTAGGCAATGCCCCAATGCCAGGCTTCCAGACAACCAAGTACTCTACCGTATTTTCATCCCTGTAATGTTCTGGACCTTTTTGTTCCTAATACAGCCCACATTGTTCATCAGCGGTCACCCCTAGGCCCTGCCATCCTCTGCCCTTATATGCTTACCTTCCAGCTCCGCTGATATGTGTCTCATATATGTGATGGAGGCTTTTTCTCTTCTGTCTCACAAACCTCTAGAGTCAGTAATGGGGTTGGTGCCAAGGGATACAAGGTTGACCTAACATTGGAATCTCAAGGAAATTCACGATATTAACAAAGTAAAAAAAGTGATGTCTTCTCAGTAGACACAGAAAAAACACGTTTGACAAAATGATATCTGATAAAATTCTTGGCAAATTAGAAGCAGGAGACTTTTTCAACCTGAGATAGATCGTGAGCAAAAATCAATAGCAAGCATCATACTTCAAGGTGAATGAATACTTTCTCCCTTGAGATTAGCAAGAAAATAGAATGTCTAAAGAATTCGAGTCAACACTGTATTGAAAGTTCTAGTCACTATTATTCTTGAACAACATGGTCATTAACACAGAAAATCTGATAGAATCTACAAAAATACAACTCACAAATGCACTTAGTAAGGTTGTAGGATACAAGATCATTATACAAAAATATAAAGTACTTTGGGACAAACCTAATAAAAGATGTGCAAGATCAGAAAACTATAAATCATTGCTAGAGCAATCTTAAATATCCAAATAATGAAGAAATATGCTTTGTTCATGGGCTGAAAGACTCAATATTGCTAAAATGGCAGTTCTTCCTAGATAGATCTATAGCTTCAACACAATCCAGGCCAAAATTTCTTGAGTGTTTTTTAAAGAAATCAATACGGTGATTCTAAAATTCATATAGGAATGCAAATGATAAGAATAGTTGAAATAATTTTTAGAAAGTTAAAGACATGGAAGCCTTATCCTACCTAGTTTCAAGCTATATTATTTAATAATTGAGTTTGACACAAGTATTAAATGGATGATCAAAGTCCACACATTCAGGGACAGTTGCTCCAATGAAGGTGCAAAGGAGATTCAGTGGAGAGAGGGTTGTCTTTTCACCAAATAGTGCTGGAACAATTAGATACCCAGGAAGACTCATGGGAGCAGGGACATAGGTGCAGACCATGCCAGATGTGCTGTGCCGATGACTGAAATGCCATGAACAGCGCTGCCGTCTCCATTCTGATCTTGAGAAATGGTGAGCAGCTCCTGGAAAACTTAAGAACAAAGAACAAAACAAAGCAAACCACCATGCCTTGTATGGTAGCTATGTTCCCAGAAGACTCAATATATATTAGAACTATGCAGGATGATTTGTATTACATATAAGGAAAATTAGGCTCAGAAAATTAGAACAGTGGCTGGTCCATAGTGTATGTTCAATATGAACATATTGAATGAACTAACAGACTGCTTTCTATACTCTTTCCATTTTTAATTTTAAACTTTCTCAAAGACTGAAAGGAAAAGAAAAAGTGCAGTGCTTCAAATCTCATTTATTCAAGAGTATATTTTGCTCTGGGAAATTCACTAAATAGCCCAGACTCTGCAGACTTCTCTCTCCTGAAACGTATCAGCTGAAGGAGAAATTGCTGATCCCGAGCCGCAGCTCTGCGCTCATCTCCCTGCAGGAAGACTCTGCAGGGGCCAGTATTTCTCTCATTTCCAAATAACAGGATCCCTTCTTAAGACTAAGATGTAGAGTCTTACTAAATTTGACATGTTGGTTTTCATTGTGGTTAATCTACTCACCTGTTGTCCAGTGTTTGTCCTCAGCCTCTTCCTGCTACAAGCCCATGGTCAGTTACAATTTGTCCCACTGCCTATTGCAGGGAGTTGGAATCAATAACCGAACACAGTGTGGCCGAAATAAAATTTCTCCTAGATTGCATCAACTTGCATGTCAACTCTGATGATTCTGATTCTTATTTCCCATCCTGAAAAAACTTGGAGAACTATTTTCACCATTCCTTTGCTATTTCAGTGCAACAACCAGATTCAATCCAACAAAATCAAAAGTCCTGAGAAATAAGTTTTATCATTGAGAAAGTACATTTGTAACATCTTAAGGGGGCCTCTCAGGTGTCTCAGTGGTAGAGAATCTGCCAAGCAGGAGATGCAGGTTCAATCCCTGGGTCAGGAAAATCCCTTGGCGAAGGGAACAGCAACCCAGTCCAGTATTCTTGTCTGGAGAAATCCTTGGACAGAAGAGTCTGGTGGGCTACAGTTCATGGGGTCAAAAGAGACACGACTGAGTAACTAAACAACAAAGGGGAGCACTGCTAATTCTGAAAATAGCACAATCACCAAGCAAGACACAAAGGTTCCCCAGAGCATGCAGTCATCCACGCCTAGGCTGTGGGTGGTGTTGGAGGGCTCTGGTTATACATGTTGGCAACAGTAAACATCTACGGGGCTGCAAAGTATAGCATCTTTTTTATAAATCTTCCATTTTCCAACAAGGATTTAGGTGGCTTAGAGAGGATTTTATCTGTGGAAATGTTTGATGGAAGTTAGTATTAAGTGACTGGAAACCTCAAAAAGCCTGGGATGGACAGTAATTCTCCAGGCAACATCTGCTGGATAATGTGGGATTTTCTTGTTTTAAAAAGTTGAAAATAAAAAGATTCTATTCTAAGAGGCTTCACTTCACATCAGGGAATAAACTCACAGTATTCTCCCCCATACATCAGTTTTTAATTTTCACTGATGTTTTTGCCCAACAATTGTCAGTTTCTTCCAACAAAAAAGCAATCTATGTGTGTGTGATTCTGGTGGGTTACAGGATTCAGCATTTACATGTAAATAGGTTTCAGCAAGTAGATCCTTGCATTTTATGTACTACTGAAGAGAACAGAACTTAATTAGGTCTGCCTTCTGCGTGCTTTACTAAATCACTGTTTTTGCCAGTTGCTTATATGTCATTAGTTCTACCACCCTCGCTGTTTCTTTGCAGCCTGTGGTAAGACTCATACTTTAAACTTGGATGAGGCACAGCAAGTGGGGCTTGTTGGTCAACACTCTGGACAAAACAGGTGGGGAAGCAAAGAAGTGTATGACATAGCCACGTAGAAATTTGGATCACTCTAATTAATCATGGTTCGGAGATGACAAAAACTGACAATAACGGATGTGACCCTTTGAGAAACAATCGAACCTCAGTGCCCAGGGAAATCTTGCTTGTTTTTGCACATCTACTACGGAGTAATGTATGCTATGGCTTGGTCCTCAGTGGGGCACTTCGGAGAGTCTGGGACAAATCCCACACTATGAGACATTCCCTAAGTCATTCCTTTT